GGTGTTGCTACCTTTTGCCGGAGGGAAGTACTAAGGTAAATCTATAGATCTATCAAGACGTGTAACATTCAGTTTATTAAATGTAATACCAGGTGTTCTCTTGTAATTGTCGATAAATTCTCGACTCGCAAAGCGAGCAGGGGATTTATCTAAAAATTTATAAAGCACGAGTGGTATTTAATAGGACTGTTCCAAGAATGATATTACGTCCAACAGAGTTCAAAATGCACCAAATATTGAAAATAACTAAAGGAATGTTAAAATAGAAGAGATTATGTTATATTACATACGCGGTTTAATGCCCATCAATACACCGATTAATACGTACAGCCTAAACAGATGAGTCGCAGCTGATTATTGGTCAGTATTGGGGGGGGAGGTAAGAAATATTGAATAGAAAAGGCTATAAATGTTTCGAGATACACTGCCCTGATTAAGGCTTTTTATGCGTGTAGTTAAACTCTGTTGGTTTTAATTTCACGACGGAATAGTCACGTATATATTGGAGTCGATGTTCGACTTAATGGGATGCATTCTGCAAAAGATAAGGTAGAAAATTTTATTTTTTATTTTGTTTATATGGATATTGCTAAGAAAATCCCAAGATTTCTATATTGAAATATAGAAATCTTAGATTTTCTTAGGGGTCAAAAACGTAATATTTGAGCATTTTTAGGTTTTGTGAAATAACAAGCATTTGTAGATTTTTAAGTTTACGCATTTTAGGATAAATTCTATCTTCAATGCTGAAGTTGTTATGACAAAAATGTTAACTTTTGTCATTTTTGAAAATATAGAAATTTCAGCGAAAATGCAACAGTTCAATTTTCTTTACCGTTCTTTGCTACATATGAAGGGGCAAAATTGGAGAAACATTTTGAGCCCTATTTGAGAATGGAATTGTTTAAATTGTTTCAAAATTCCCTGTGACTCACACAAAATTAAGCAAAAAATACTCATATTTTCAAAAAAAAATGATCAGTATCTTATATGAAGATCTGCTTTGGATTGAACAGATTTCACTGAGATCAAATGTCACATTGATCTTATTTGAACAGATTTCATTGAGAACTAACTTCATGTATAAAGTTGTAGGAAGACGCCAAAAACGTTTGAACTTTTGCGAGTTTCAAAAATCAGGAATTTAATCAAAACTGAACCTGCGCCATTTTCTTAAGAGTCTTAAAAAATGTTGAACCATTTTTGAAAAAAAATGAAACTCTTGATATGGCTTCATGAAAAGCATCCCCCAAAATCAAAATATTTGTTTCTAACTGGGAGGATCTTCAGCTTATTTAAATTGATCAAAAATACCAATTTTGGAGAACGTAGTCGGAACGGTTTAGGCGCAAGCGTTGTCCATAGAAGTATTGGCATACGGGTGTACACACACATTTTTTCCGTCAATCAATTTTTGATATCAAGGACACCCCCCTCCAAACACGGATTATGACTACATCACGTGTAATTTGTTACAAGTAATTTGTTACAAGACGGAATAAGATTTATCTCCTTTTTTGTAATCAGTATCTGGCAACAAAAATGTTTTCCCACGAAAAATCATCGTATTTCCTGTGGCATTACAATGCTTTCTCTTGTATACTATGTAAGCTGTATGCTAGATAGTAACCACATTGATAAGTTAAATATTAACAACGTCATAAATATTTCATTTGGTTTTAATTAAAATAGTTCCTCAAAATGCTGTTTATGCCATGTTATTTTGTGTATTTAGCATTATCCAAATAAAACATTCTATGTCAAAATATACAGACGATTTTTGAAATTTCTTTAAAATATTACACATATTTCATTCAAAATAACGCAAAAACTATTAATACAATAATTTCATTACCCGATTTCTGACATTAACCAAAGAACCAAGGAAAAAAACATTCGAAGAAAAAATCTCACTCTTGAGTAGAGAAAGTTGTATGAGGTGTCAAAAAATTTGTCAACTTTTCCAATGACCTAAAATTCAAAGTTAACAGTGCAAACGGAATTATGCCATCTACATAACTGTATAACTATCTCTTTTTACAAGAAATTGTAGGAAAACATTGCAACAATTTTTTAGTAAAATGAAAATGTTCTAGAGGCTGTGAATAAAGTATCCCTAAAATATAAACAATAATTTTCAAAATCACAAGGCTTTAAGTCATGCCAAATCGATCAGTAAATGTTCTTTTTCAAAAAAACCTGCGAATATTTGAGTCGCTTGTGTTGTTTATTCACGGACGAACGTTTACAAAAACAAGTTTTGTTTTTATATTATGGAAACCCAAAAGATCTATTTCTGTCAAAATCTCGAAATCGACTTTCTCTACACCACATATATTAGCTGTATTAGCATATATTAGCTGTAGCTACGTATTTATTACTTGGCTACGAGTATTAGCTACGTATATAAGCTACTCCGAACAAATGGGGAAAGGTAAGACGTCCTCAAAAACGGCTCCAATTTCCTACTTTAACCTTTTCTGAATGAGTAGATCCAAACGCACTGAATAACATGAAATAAAGATTTTTTTGATGTATTTTTTCAAAAATGTTAAGAAATGCTCCAGTTGTTTACTACGTCTCCGTTTACTACGCCAGAAGCCATGAATGCAGTCTGGGTTCAGAGAATAAAACAAACCGCACCCATTAATTATTATCTTTATTGTGTCGGTCATAAACTTTTTTCAGTTCTTGAAAATGATGTTAACTGGGAAATCTGCAATTCTTTGAAACGGACCAGAATTTTTATAACATTTTACTTTCTAGAGAACGAATACGAAGTATAAGATAAGTGTTGAAACGCTATATCAAAAAGTGCCATTTCTTCGGCGGAGAGAGGGAGGAAATACAACCAGTGGCAAAAATTATCAATAGAGTAGTATAGTATTTAATAAACTCTACATTAAATAAGCATCATAATCTGAGGAATATTTTCAAAAAATTGTCAGTCAGCTTAAATTCATTATTATGATAATGCTTGTTTTATACAAAACACCACAGGTCCGATTACAAAATTTGAAAATTAAGTACGTATATTATCATCAAAGTTATTTTAACTCTTTTGTTAGCTTTTCGGAAGGTTACTGCCGTCAGCGTTGATGAGAGACAGAGAAAAAACACGCAACCGGAATGCTGTCTTTCTAAACCCTCGAGAACAACAGCATGAATTCAAAGACGCGCCTGATGCGAAACTATAGAATATAACCTATAGAAAATATCAACGATAACGTATCGAAATTTAAAAAGCACTACACTAACGCAGCATTATAATCTGACAAATATTCACAAAAAATTACGAAATCGGTCAGCTTAAATTACTTCATTATTGACGATAACACTTCTTAATACAAAACACCCCACGTCCGATAAAAAAATTAGTAAAATTAAGTACATATGTTATCAACAAAGTTATTTTTAACCCTTTTGTTAGCTTTTCGAAAGGTTACTGCCGTCAGAGGCGAAGAGAGAGACAGAGAAAAAAAAGGACGCAACTGGGAATGCTATCTTTTTAAATCCCCAAGAACAACACAACAAGAGTTACCAGAAGCTACGCGCCGCATCTTGTGGTGTGTGCCCCGCCACAAAGGGAGGGTGGCGGGGGGGGGGGGCGTGCGGCCAGATCACAGAGGCTTTGCTCGTGGCCAAACAAACGCCGTACTGTGAGAGGCCAGCTACTCAACTGTTCCAAGGCCCCCTTGCGCCGCTGGAGACGACAGCGCGTAGCACACACCCCGCCTGCCTGCGGCGGATCCGAGGGGTACTCGTCTCTCCTGCAACTGCATCATTTTTTTTTATTGTCCTCCCTACGCTAAAGCAAGGCAGTCTACGATAACAGGCTTTGCACCTGAACGCGTGATGCACTAGTTAGGGACGGCAAAAAACATCGATGTTTTTACAATATTCATATTTTCGAGCAGAGACATCAATATTATAAACCGATGTTTTCAAAAAAAAATTCTCATGATGTAAATAATATTTCCAGTAACTAATATGTTTTTAGGATTGCTCGCAATCAACAGCCATTTACAATTGCCATTGTTGTCAATCCCCAGATGACACGAAACTCTTTGCTATTCACATTCTCCATAATAATTGCCTTTATTGATTATTTATTACGTGATGATATCGTTTAACTTCATTTCGAACCTAATTACAGAAAATATTGATTAAAAAATTAAATTAAAAAAAGCACTCAAAAGTTGGTTTGAAAAAATGCTTTCCAGACAAAAATTTGCATTACAGATGTATAGAAACACTCCAGAAAGATGTAATTGTTTATTATTTACAAATGAAATTAATATACTGGATAAGAAAAATTTAACTTAGAAATAAAAAAGCATCCAATTTACATAATTCGACTGTTTTTTTTATATTTCTCTTAATTTTTCTTTCTCAACCAGTATATTCATTTTTTTGTAAATAATAAATAATTACAAGTTTCTGGAATGTTTCTATGCACTTATAATGCAATGGTAGCCTAAAAATATTTTTTCAAACTATTAGTGCTTATTGTCATTCGGAAGATCCACGTAGTTATATGCTTATATGTATGTTTTGTTATATGCTTAAAATCGTCTTAAAAGTCCATTTTCGAAGTTTTGACGTTTCCTCCTCGGACACACTGTGTATAAATGAGATCATATTCTTGCGGAGAAAGTAAGAGTCAAACTCCAGGCGCATTTAGGGGACCGCCCGCGAGGTTCGCCTTTTCGATAAAGGTTCCCAGACCCTCGTCGGGGGTAGGCTTCTAAAGAACCCTGGGTCGAAAACTCAGTGAAAGTAACGGGAAACTACCCTGAGTATATTCTCCCAAGAAACTCCATCATGGAAGAACCGGACCAAAGAAAAACACTAACGGTGTCAACCTTAATATCCTAGTGTCGGGTCATAAACCTAGGGTCGGATTGTTGGACACCCGGCAGTCGCCGGGTTTAATATTTGATAGTGGTTTATCGACAACAAAAGTTAATGTTGTGCAGTTTGTGTTTTGACGTTTCCGGATGTGTATGTTGAGTAAGGTGTGTGGTTAATTTATCAGTGCTTAGTATCATAATCATTTTTTACACCGTATATACAATTGTGGAAAAGCTTTATTTCAGTTTTGAAGTTGCAGTGTTGCAGGCAGCACAACTAGTTTTTGCTATGGTAGCAAGGGTAATATGTTTGTTTTTCCAAAAGACATCAAAGAAAGAAAACTGTGGGGCGTCTGTGATCCATTAGAGTGACTTTATATTTACACAGAATACACACTTAAAATCCGCGTGCAATCAATGTATATTTTATAAAACGAGATGATAAGTCCTGGGTAGTTGAGTCTAGGAAACGATCTGAATTACTGATGATGCATCCCCAACATTTGTTCTAAATCAGCCATTCCACCTAAAATACTTCCGCCTAACTGAAATCGTCCTGAAATATTAAGGGCTGATAGGAGACACAAATAAATAGTCACATGTTGTGGAAATTTACCATTCTCTCTTTTGAGTATTCAATTTAACATTTGACTATTGAAGATTTAGGAAATGTTTTCTAGAATTGTAGAAAATACAGTGTTTTTAAGTAAACTCAGCTGAAATTTGTCCAAGTACGTCATGTGGCTTTAAAATTTTCATAGATCTTTCAACACAGCTTTTCACTATAAAATCATTGTTTCTAATGAAAATTTTAAATGAGTTATTAATAAGTAATCTGAAATACTATAAATGGGGAATGTTCGATTCTTTGATATCACGTTTATGATATTTTTTAGATGAAAATCTAAATACCAGTGAAAGAAGTCCTCATCGAATGAAAAAAATGTATCCTTATATTAATGAACTTATTGGTAGTATGCTGTCGTTGCCAAGGAGAAAAAATATTTATTATTAACAAAATACACTTTTTAAATAGGTAACATGAACTTATCTCATTGACAAAACACAAATATTCACCAAATGTGATTACTTTATCTGCACGTCGGCTAAGGATTTTTCCCCAACCAGGTATGTCCCACAAGTAGGCACCGCCCCAGTCTGGACAAGCTCTAAGCTCCCGAATTAGTCTCCCGGTATATGTGGTACTGTAGTGCACGTAAGTGTGTGTAGGTAAGGGTAAGGATCGGACAAGGAAGAGAAAGGAAAGATCGCGCGTGGTCCGTTTCTTAGAGTATTGCTCCGTCATTCGCCGAGCGTTGATCGGCGAAACCATGGAAAAACACCAATCAGAGCAGCCGGCTGCTAGTATCCTCCTCCAGACAGCAACTGAACTCAACGTAGCTATCGAGCTAGTGTCGAAACTCCTGCCAGTTTCGGGACTAGAAATCTGGACTTCCCGGACAGAGGCACTGCAGAAGCAGCAATTGATGCTCTGTGTACCCTGTGCTGTGACAAAAAATGACTAGTCCACGCGTTCAAATAAGGTTTGCAATAATTTACCGAGTATATAATGCAATTATCTTTCCTTCCGATTATTAGACTAGAATATCAGATTTAAAAAAAATTTGACTAGTGGTATTACAACAACACATACTTTGTCATGTTATTTTTGATTTCTCGTATTTTTTTCATCCCAAATTATTCAAATATTACTCATATGTTGAAAACATGTAGATGACTTTATTTAAAGATTCAATTTTGAAGAATAGACTTCATTAATGAAAAAGTCGCTAACATCAATATTGATCTAGGATTTTCAGTAAAATGTAGTGTGTTTAATGGAAATAGGACATGTATAAGCACACTTTGCTACAAGAGAGAAAAGTATTTAATCCAAAAATGTGTTCTCATTTTTTAGAATATTGTGAATATGTTATTGAGACTTAATGTAAAGTACCTCTCAAAATAAAATTATTGAATTTCGTAGAGACTCTAGTTCGATTGATTGGGAAAGTCATTTTTGGAGAAAATGGTGTGAACGGTTTTTGGGTAAGTTTTGTACGAAAACGGACAAACGAACGGCTAACGTGAACGAATTTTTCGAAAACAAGAACCCAGAAAATAAGGATTTTGATTACACCACGTGTCAGAAGAATTACTTGTAATTTATATTTGAAAGCAAGAATTATCCACTTCTTCGCTAATAGAGAATCATCGTACAAGTTTTTTCTGTTGAAAGTTCACCACTATCCACTGTAGCATTAAAATATTTTGTCTTTATTACTTAAGTACTTAATAGGCGAGAAAGTAAACATTGTAAATTAGATTATTAACAAAGGAATAGGCTAACATTCAGTTCCTGCAATATAGTAAAGTAAATAAAAGTGATTATAACTAATTTCAACTACATAACAGAAATATGTACTTTGATTAGTTTCATACAGTAATTTACATAGATGCAAAATATTACGTGGTAAATATCTCGATGTCGATAAAAATTCTGCTTCCAAAATTTATACTTGACGATCTCAAGTTACTTTTTTCTGTGCGGAGTTCCATGTTTTTTTCTTGACAATGTGCACTAGTTCTTCAATATTCCTTTTTTTTTGTATTTTTGTTGAACAGACCTCCTACTAAATTATTTAACAAAAGGATCAAAAAAGCAGAATTTAATTTTAAATTTTGAGGGTACGTCGAAATCCACTTGCGAATATTTTTTATCAGCCAGAGGAAAACAAAGTTTAAGTGCAATGAGATATGTCTTGGTTTCTAAAGATATTTCTGGTTGCTTTCTATACACATTTTGTAGTTCTATGAAAACGTTTGTTCAGCATTTCTCTCATGATATTTATTTTAAGGAGATATTCTAAGACATTTGGCTTGTACAAGAGCTATTTTTTAAATAAGGTCCTTTTTTAATCAAGAGAAAAATACCAAAAATATCTTCAAACTATTTATTATTCCCTATTCTACATACTTTCGTCAACTGTTCTATCTAATTTCCGTTTTCTTCAAACATTTGTCATACCGTTCAACAAGTTTTTGAATTCCTACGTCAAAGAAATCTGTCGCCTGCGAAGAAGTCCAATCCATGACTTCAATTTAATTTCTTCGTCATCGTTGAACTGTTGACAACAACGGAACAACTTGAAGTACAGAAACAAGTGAAAATCAATCGGTGCAAGGTCTAGACTGTAAGGTGGATGATTCAGTTGTTCCCATCCAAAAGACTCACTTATTTCATTTTTTTAAATGTGCATTTTTGCATTATTGTAAACTTTGCTGTCATTCATTGCATAGTCATGGGTAATACCACGAGGGCTTTGGAAATAATCGATAAATTCCCGACTCGTGAAGCCAGGAGGGGATTTATCTGACAATTTCCAAAGCACGTGTGGTATTTAATAGGACTATTCCACAGGTTACATTATGTCCATCAGAGTTCCAAAATGCGCCAAATATTGAAAATGACTGAAATCGTATGTTAAAACTAGAGGTTATGTTGTAGTACATACGCTGTTTATTAGACATTGACATAGCGATCGGTCAATAACGCCTCCTAATCAAGAGGAGTCACAGTTTATGATTGGCCAGTAGGTAGAAGCGGTAAGAAAAATCAGATAGAAAAAGCGATAAACTTTTTATGATACACCGCTCTGATTGGGGCATTTTGTACGTATATTTAAACACTATTAGTTTTATTTTCACGAGTGGAATAGACCGTAATAGACCGTAAACTTCACAAATGTGGACGGTGAATTTCCATTGCTGCCAAGTTTCTTACACTCAAGAATCAAATTACAGATCGTATCTCACAGTCGGCGAGCGACTCAATTGAATCGTATTTCAGAAACCCCTCAAACGCCAAATTCCCCGTTCGGAGAAAACTTAGAATAAGTCTCCCAATTTTTGAGATTTCAATTTTTTTTATTTAAGGTGTATAATGATTTTTTTATATAAATATGCACTATACGATGTGTCTAACCTCCTGGAAGAAATATCTGTCGCTAAAGCGTGTTTTAGATTTTGGTGTTTGACGGGTTTCTGAAATACGCGATTCAATTTTCTTAAACATTATAAACTTCCAGAGCTCAGCATACAGACCGTCGTCACGGCTGCAAATAAACGCGCGCAAAGCATACTGGAAGCAGACACGCATGCCCACTTTGGCGATCACGCGTTAGTCTCGCTCTCATTCTCAAACACAAATTTGAATTTGTTTCACGTTTGACAATGCTTTTTCTGAAAATTGGGAGATATTATTGAGTTCCTATAGCTTCTTATTGACACTTGCTTACTATTAATAATTTTCATTGGTCTGCGCGAAGCAAAAAGCAGGGAAATATTACTGAAGAGTGTTTATATATTTAAAAAAGTAACCTACGTATTTCTGAAATGAGGAATAGCACTATGTTCTCCCGACCCTTTCAATTTTCGTATCGATTTCTTCATTTCGTACCGCGCGCCACAGCCTCCTCCGGACCGGCGGCGCCCGCTCCCGCGTTCTAGCGGCGCCGCCAGCAACTACCACCACCGCCGCGGGCTCCGCGCTCAGCTGTCTCGCCGCCCGTCGCCGGTCGAAGTCAGTTGCATCGGCTATGGCTCCTCTCGCACAGCCCTCGGCGCTACTCCGGTCACGCACTTGAACACCCTCATCTACCCGCACGCACACGGCTTCGCGATGTCCTGCGGCACGCTGCTGCTGTTCACAACGCTGCTGGCGGTCGCCGCGGCCGTGTTCACGACCCCGGAAACGCCGCTGACCGGAAAAGGGTGAGTTTTGTTTAGCGACACGAAATGACGTTAACCTAAAACCTGGTCGGTCCGTTTGTTATTGATAGGAGGGTCCTGTGCAGTGGGGCTAAATATATCGTCGGTGCAGCTGTCTTTTTTTTTTTTTCGTGCGTGACTGACAGGCGTGGGGTGCATGTGTGTACGCAGGTTTTCACGTGTGATGGACACAGGCCTGCCAGAAGCAAGATTTGTCTGGGGTGTGTTTAAGGGAGATGTTTAATGTTTAATGACTTTTGCTGCCTCTTTGTATACAGTTTTGGCTTATCACTCACTATCGTGCACTACATTTTTCACGTCAAAACATACTCTAATTAATTCCAGTTAAGCGTATAGTACAAATTCTATACTCATTTTATCTTGTTTTAAATAATATAGGTATCTTTATTGTTTTAACACATGTGTTATTTAATTAATATCAACTCAATTTGACTCAACTATGTGTACAGATGAGCTGAAGTTTCCTAAGCTTACATTTTTAGTGACAATTTAACGAAAATGAGGCGATATGTTGAATCCTTGGAATTACTTATAGGGACATGTCTTTATATGAATTACTTTTTTGTTTAATTTCCATAAAACAATTACACTTTACTATTGATGGAGGAGCCGGTGAAGTCAAGTATATTCTTATGTATATGTATGTGTTTATATATTCAAGGTGCATCTGTTTTGCCTCATGCGTGGTTGACAGACGTCTGCTACTCGTAGCGACTGTCTGTTTTGGTTGCAGGTTTTCGTGGGAGGCGTTTTAGAGCTACTGTTTAATGTGATTCGTCGAAAGTGTGTGTAATGAAGATGTCAAGAGTTTCGGTTGGTTCTCGTGTGCCGTCTTGACTTTCCACTCGCTGGCTATCACGAAATCGATTTTCCAGTTAAATGCTCTGCCAAGACCAAATCAAGGCGATTCGAAATAAGCCGATTTTCAGATAGGTCCGTTAAGAATTGGTTTCGTTTTAAAAATAATATATTTTCGTTTTTTTATATATACGTGCTATTTAATTGATAACCTTATATTACTACCTGTAGTTTTTGTAATTCGTCTAGTGTTCATCTTCTTTGAATTTGTTTCTCGTTTGTCAATTGTTTTTCAAAAATTGGGCGATAATGTTGAGTTTCTATAACCCCTTATTGACACTTACTAACTGTTAATAATTTTAATATTAAGAATTTTCACTGGTCTGAGCGAAGCAAAAAGGAGACTAATATCACTGAAGAATGTTTTTTCATTTTTTCTGTATCTCAAATATTTTGCCATTAGCAATGATAATACTGGGTTTATAAGAGAAATTATACATAAGTATTAAAATTAGACTTTACTCTAATTGATCAAGATAACAATATAGTTAATGTTTCCGCTCTTGGTCCACATTCTCTTCAAAACAACGAACATTTTCAGATATTTCACCTATTTTTTACTCAGCTCTGTAACAGGCAAACAATGTATGCCACACAAAAGAAAAAAAATTTAATTAACTAGCCCAGTATTATTAATATTATTTTATTTTATTCTTGTATTAATAATGAAGTATTATATTACAATATCAATTGCATTTTAATCATTATTTACTCTTATTATTGAGCATCCTCTGTTTGGCAATTGAACTACACTCTTGATTCACGATCACGAGCAAATTCCCCACTGTTATTGGTAGGATTAGCCGCGATGGCAGGCTAAGTATATCGTGGTGGGATCTCTGACTCCTAGTGTACGGGCGTGTGCAGTTGTCAGTGGTCTAGAGCGACTGTGCGTTTATATGCTTGTTTTCGGATGTGGGAGCAACTGGTCATAGAATTGAAGGTGCGATGTTTGTAGAATGCTTGATGGAAATATTTTGGGTTTTCTTGGGTATCAGGAATCGTCTTTACGAGTACCAAGCTTACTGGTAAATACTATTCTCCTTTTAAAACCTTCATTTACCTCCTTGTTCTTGACAATATAGACAATGATCTTGTCTGTAGAAAAAATAATAGTTTATTATAAACGATGGTGTAATTATTCGTATTAAGGTTCGAGTGTGAAGTATATTAGGACACGAACGAGAAAGCTGTGATTTTTGTTAACTTCATTCTTTGTATTAATAGGATACATACTGTACAATGTAATCGATTTTCACACAGTACTTTTATCAAGAGTAATGAAAACTAATAGAAGTTGAATATAATTATCATTTAGCCTCTTTTCTAGTCACTCCCGTTCGACATTTCATTATTTTTATGTTCAGAGTTATTTGCTATTATGCAGTATTTAAATAAAAGACCGTTCTTGCATTCGGACAATATTGTAAATTTTTCTCAACTCGCTATCGTTTCGGACACGTTTTGAACCTTCATCCGGACATTTCATGCAAAACAACTCATATTACATTGTATGGTGCTCAGTATTGTGAGGGAAAATGGGTAGGAGGTATCCAACTGAACTGGAATTAGTGAGAAACAAGATGTGCTTTAATTGTGTTAGTTGTTATTAATGAATTTAATTGTTTGTAACTATTATTTCGAGTTCTTGATAAACGTGGCTCCAGTGTATCGCATCGGCTGCATCGTAACGGCTGCCTCGAGAACTATGTTACACCGCGTGAACTCGTAAATTGTATGCACCGAATTTTGAACCACCGCGAACTTTAACATTACGATTGTAATATCGGAAAGCGATGCACCAAATGAAACACGTGATTCATGTTCTGTACGGTACCCCTACCCGTGATCATAGTAATTGGTATTTGTTTCGAACTGTGACAGAAGAGTACTAGTAATTATATTCCCATTGCGAAACATCATTGGCATAATGGTCAAGTGGATGTTTCATCATGTTTTTTAAAGAAATTTAGCATTTGCAGTACACTGTGCTCTACCAGTTCTGAATTATTTACACTAGCGATGTGGAAAGTCGATTTATCGTTCGATGTGCTCAAACTTTTGGCACAACGTTTTCAATTATTTCCACTATCGCAGTTTTCATCTTTTGAAAACGTAATACCAAACGTTGTGTCAAAAGTTTGAGCGTATCGAACGATAAAGGTCTCATGGTTCTCCCTATCGTACGAGTACCTCAAATTGTTGAACGATGCAATTTTCAAAAAATTTCCTTCTTTTTCTACCCCTAAAGCCTCCTCTGAAAATCAAAAGCACTTCAGATATTAATTGATTTTTATTATAAATTTCCGATGATACTTTATCTGCTGGTAAATCCAAGTAACACATCTAAAAAAATCATCACTCAGTAAAGTAAGTAAAGTAAAAATGAAAATAAAATTTACCAATTTTACTAGTAAACATTTAATTTTGATAATGCATATATTGGTCGGTGTATTACGTACAAAATTTCATCTTTGGACACGAAATGGCTCCGCTCAACATAAACCCATTCCCTTTCAAAGTCACAGGATTATTTAAAGTATCCTTTTACTTTCGTATCGACGATTCATCGTTCACCGCATTGTACTAATATAATGAGTTTCCTCTGTAACCTAGTAGTAATGATAACAAAATTCAGTTCTCATTCTCTTTGTCTCAGTAGACCATCTGGTACCATGCTGCTGGCTTCGCTTTAAAAAATACTGAAGAAACACTCAACATAAAATGTGCCATTCGTTTTCTACTTTGGGGGAAGGGTGGAGAAGGGGTCTGAAGTTATTTCCGGAAAGCTGTGGTTGGGAGTGTAAACTGTTACTTGCTGGCAAAGGCCCTTCGGTCTGAAAGGTTACAGCTCTCTCGAAGTTAAGGCTACCCTCAGGGAATGTCTCTTTTCATTTCCATAAATTCAAGCTGCAATCTCAACCCTTCGATTACAACTGAAGAATAAATGTTAGTCGGTTAGTAACCGACAAAATGCAATGGTGACGTAGACATGAAATTTACGTGAAGTAAGGATATGGAATAACTCCTGTTTACATTTTCTAGAGTGTAACAGATTGTAATGGCTCAGCAACATTACGAGAGTTTCTGAAACATCCTTAACATGAAACGCCTGGTGTTCGTGTCCCAACGGTGACGGACTTTTTACCCAAACTACATAGGAAGGTTGAATTTATTCACTAACTGGAGGAGACTTTCAGCGGTTGGCTGATTGGCAGTTTGCTCTGAGCTCTGACCTTAACAAACAGGCTTTGGATCGCGCACCATCTCTCTTCCTCATCCTTGTCCCCTCTTTTCCATTTAAAATGTTACTTTCACTTTTAAAATGTTCGAATGTTGTTTTAAAATTCTAATTTAGCATAAATGTTTCTCTAATATTTACGATATGATGTAAATATGCTTTTAAATTCTCTTGAACGCTAAAAAGTATTAAAAAGCATTAAAAATTATAATGATAATAAATTATTACTATTATTGTTATTGTTATTTATTATTATATTGCTCGCGTATAGGCCGAATTGGGCCATGCGTGTATACACCCTTTGTTGACTACAATTATCTCGGTGTCAGATGAATGTACCTTTAACTGGGGGGATCAGCATTTAGCGGGATCTGATTTTTATCCAGAAAGGTTGTTAGCCCTGGAGGTATGGAAGATAAAATGATGATAATGAGGGGTGAAAGGACGACGCACACACATAGCCGTATACAAATACGCCCATGCCCGAGGCGGGTCTCGAACCTGCAATCTTGAAGTCCGAAACCACTGCGGCACTACTGCCTTAGTGATTTAGACCATCTGATCGGCATTATTATTATTATTATTATTATTATTATTATTATTATTATTATTATTATTATTACTATTATTATTACTATTATTATTATTTATTATTAAACCGTTTCTTACTCTATTTAGCTAGGGATATTTGTTTCTGTCTCTGCGGTCTACACCCTTTGCTAGAACTTGGATGCAAATGCCCACATTCGTGTACAAGGGTGAGCGCTCCTCACACTGTCAATCGCCACAGTCACAGTGCGCTACACAATGCAGGAGCGATTCAGCCTGCGATAAAATTGCTGAAAAAGTTTTCTACTGTTATCCGCGCCTCTGTGTTCGAAACGGTGATGGAAGTATATTGGTTAACTTCCTCGAAGCCGGCCAAAGTTCACCCAGACCAGATAGTAGATTTGGCCTGATTGGTCGTTGTTAAAATATTGTCCCTTAATAGTGTTAAAATACAGTGTGCTTCAACTTGCCCTCACGATGGAAACCACGAGTTGGGTGGACTCTAAACGTCATTTATTTTGAACATCGACGTGTCATATTCAGGGGTTTCACAAGTTGACAATTGTTGATGCATA